GCGCGGCAGAGCGGGCACGTGACGTGCTTCTCGGAGCCAGAGGCCGATGCACTGCGGGTGAAACGCGTGCGGGCACGTCGGGAGGAGGCGCAGGCTGTCGTCGTCATCGAACTCCAGGAGGCAAACCGCGCACTCCAGCGGGTCGATCCGGCCGTCGCTGATCCGGTGCTGCTTGACGTCGCGGTAGGACACTAGCGGCAGCGCCGCGATCTCGGCGGCGTCTAGGCCCTCCTTGTGGTGCGAGTGTGGCCACTCCGACGAAGAGTTCTCGGTGGCCGGGGGTTCGTCTGGCGGCCGGTACAGGCGGAGGCAGGCAAACGCGAGGAGGACGACGAAGACGGGGAAGAAAATGGCCATGAAGAAGGAGATGGCCATCACGTCCGAGAAATCCATAGAGTTGTCCGATCCCGGGCCTCCCGGCGTCTGCGCTGCTGCGCAGGAAGCGATCGCCGTGAAAACGACGGAGGCGAAGGCACGATTGCGGGAGGCGGCCATTGCGCTGCGCCCCGGCGGCTAGGGTTGGTTCTGGCGGAGCTGGGCGTGGGCGTGCTGGGTCTCCGGAGTCTAGGAGTTTGTAAACCCTACCAAAATTTCCGTTAAGATTCGTGCGCTTTGCATTTGCCCCGGCGTGACATTTTCTTTTTAATTCAAGGATACGTCAAGGGCGCCAAGAAGGAAGAGATACGCAATGCCGCAATGGACGAGGCTTGCCTGCTCAGTTCCGAGCTTCGATACGTACGTGCTTCGCGCCAGTCTTTGGCACCGGACGGTTATAGCAATTGGGTTATAGAGGTAATCTTCAAACAGCATTACATCACTTAATAAGAGATGGTTGAACTCGCTAGGAGACTAGGAGGCTCAGCAAAAAAAAAAAAAAAAAGAGGCTAAAGAGGCCCTGAGCCAAATTTTCTAATTCATGAGCAACAAAATTAGTCTCTCTCTCTAGGACAACTAGTAATAATGGACGTGCAATGCACGTTTATATTAGGTAGGATATTAGTTGCATGTAATATTAGGTAAGATATATTTGTTGTATGTTGATATTTGGTAAGATATCAATTACTTTTTCGCGGGAATGGTAGAATATTAATTACATGACAAATTTTAAGGGATAGCGTTGAGTCAAAACGTGTTTATAACCAATAGTAGTGCTGGGTAATTAGAGCGTTAAACATGTTTGCTGCTCAACATTGGAGCGATTTGAACCACTAGGTAACATAATTTTGACGGTTGAGATGATTTGGATATGCCTATTTGGGTCTTTTTATATTGGTATAGATATAAATGCACAAATGAGATACAACTGTATAAAAATACACGGACATTATTGTACAAATGAGGTACACTCTAAAATATGCCATCGTGAGAAGCGGTCCTTTTGTCTTGGGCCTTGCTGAGCAAAACGTTGATTTCAGAGGGATGTATATGAAGGAAAATAAAGGAACAGATGCTGGGCCATGAAAACAATGTATGTGACATCTAAAAAATTATTATACAATTTATTTATTATTTCAATTCGAAATAATTATATTTTACCATTCAAAAATATATGTTACATTTTAAAAAATGTTCATGCATTTCAAAAATATGTTCATGACATTTAAAACATGTTTATACAATCTACAATAATGTCCGTGTAGTTTTAAAAAATGTTTCATATCATTCAAAACTGTTTCAATGTGTATTTAAAAAACTTATAACACATATTCAAAAAATGTGTTTGAAAAATGTTAATCATGTATTTTAAAAATGTTAAACGTGTATAAAAAATGTTTTAGATGTATATACCGAAAGTATACAATGTGTATGAAAAAATAGACATCAAAACATATATTTGAAAAATGTTAATCAATATTGAAAAAATGTTAAACATGTAGAAGAAAATGTTCTTGCTGTATACAAAAAATGTACAATATTTACGAAAATGTAGACATGTGTAGAGAGAAGTAAATAAAATAAGGAAAATAGGAAAAAATGTTGCATAGTTTTCAAAAATGTATATTGCCATTAAAATTGTTCAAACGTGTATATGATTTTTTTACCATGTATTCAAAAAAAAGTTTAAAACATGCATTAAAAAATATACATCATGTATTTAAAAAATTGTTAATGTGTATACAAAATGTTCAAAACATGCATTTAATAATACCTTCCATTTCTAAATATAAGCCCTTTTAGAAATTTCAAAATGGACTACATAAGTATGTATATAGACATATTTTAGAGTGTAGATTCACTCATTTTGCTCCATATGTAGTCCATATTGGAATCTCTAAAAGGTCTTATATTTAGGAACGGAGGGAGTGCATCATGTATTTGAAAAATTGTCAACGTGTATCAAGAAAATGTTGTACGTGTACACTTAATTGTGCATTGTATAGAAGCAAACATGTGTAGAGAAAAAGAAAAAGAACAAGAAAAAGAGAAGGAAAGAAAAAAAAAACCATGAAGAAACATTCTAGTGGTAACCATGAAGAAACGAAGAAAAACAGGAAACAAAAAAACCATGGAAAACCAATGAAGAAATGAAGAAATACAAAGGAAAAAAGTAAGATGAAAAATAACCCGAAGAAAGCTGCACAAAACAATGGAAACATAAAAAGTCATGGTACAGTGTTGGGTCGGTCCACGTCCTAGGGCTATATCTCACTTATAGCCCCTGTTCAAGAATTCACCCGATTAACCAGTTAACTTGCCGATTAATCCCTACTCGTAGGGTCACCGATTAGTTGATAAACTGATAAATCATTAGATTAACTGATTAAATGACCGATTAACTTGCCAGTTATCCTATTAGTCCCCTACCCGCCAGCCAACAGAGCAGCTACCAGTCAACGATTTCCTCAACAATGCTTATAGCTCTGGCGACAACGTGGCCTCGGGACTCTTCTTCATGACTCATTTGGGGCTTCATTACCCCTAAAAAAAATTAGGGATTCATTGTTGCTTCATGTAGGTACAAGCATTCAAAGGTTGGATGTTCCATCGATAGAGGCTGAAGATTTATTGAGGGTCTACAGCTAATAGCAGAATTGGGTATTCACTGCCCTTGTGATGGTGAATGACTTGATGAAAATTGTTCAAGCCTGGAAGAACCCGTTGGAGTACTGCCCTTCGGGGGCGATTGTCACTGATAATTGTCAAAGTTTAATGACAAGCTTCAGCTGGGCGACAATTATACACCGCCGGTGAAAAGCAAATGTAGCTTCACATGAACTTGCTCATTTTGGTTTTATTAAGATGGCATGTGAGGTCTGGAGAGACCATCGCTTGATTTCTTGGCTCCAATTGTTCTAAAGGATATGACAATGATTTAATAAAGTCTCTAAACTATAAAGGAAAAGAAATCCTCCCTTCAGGGCTTCTTTGTTTCGTAGTTTTGTAAAAAGCAGAAATAGGGAAATCATAGAATTGAAATGTCATGCTCTTGAATTCTACCGAATTTTAGTTTGTTTGATTTCATCACAGGAAAAACAAAGGATTTTTCTAAAAGGTTGGAGTGGTTGTTAGATTTCTTATGGAATGTAGTACAAGTGATTCCTTTGGAAAAATACGAATCAAACGACCAATGTAGAAAAAATTCCTAAGAATTTTAATTCTCCACAAATCCTATAAAATTCCTATGAATCAAAGTCTTCCTAGGTCCCTCTTTCTAATATTAGGTAAAGATTCGTTTAGCCACTCACAATTTTAGGTCTTCTTTTCTATGGACTTGCTAAATCTCAGCTGACTCAAACTCTATATGAGATCATACAAAGACATCAACGCTATTTTTTAGTTTATTTTTATATGTTATTTGTACGTAAATATGATAACGTCATTCGACTCGATTAAGACTTGGCTAAATCTCAGTCAACTGAAATCTAGCTAGTACCGATCATACTATGGACCAACCAAGCCCAAGTACTTACGTCACAACTGAGAAGGCCTGACCTGATCTCGTACAATGAAGGCGACATGTACATATGTACCATAAAATCGAATGGCGAAGATGCATGTGAACTGAGCGTAGCTTGGTTAGTTAGGTTTCTTGTCATATAACTATCCCCAGGGTTTAAGTTTTAGATTTAACACCGGTGCTTGTATTTTTCTAAATATATTTTAGCCTTTCTGACAATGTTCGTTCAATGGGAGAAGACGTTCCTGTCGACTACGAACAGGCGAATTCGTCAATCTCAAAATGTTATGCCGGCTCAATATCTCAATGATGCTAATAAGGAAGTATGCATATGTGCTTATAAGGTTAAGTGTATGCGCATGCGTGTGAACACCTACAATTGTTATGAAAAAAAATGATGAAGATACGTCGTACTACACCATGTGCGCGCAGAGGTAATCTCAGAAGAAATAATACATTACACTTTTTTCCACCGGACAACGAGCAAGACAAGTCGAAGATTACTACACATCGGCACACAGAGGTAATCTTGGAAAGATGACATGACTAATTGACGCAACGATCCGGACAACGCACCTTTTTCCACAGTTTGCACTTGCGTTTCCAGAGCACCTACTCCAACACGTACTTTGGATGGCAATATTACTCCGGTAATCATGGGCAAACAAGTGATCTAGAACGTCAGGACTCGATTGAGAACCACAAGAATTGAAAAGCCTTCATTATACTATTCCACAATATCGTACTAATTCCTTTTCAATTTTCATTCTAGTCGTACTAGAGTTTACCCTCAGCGCAGGTGCATGGAATTCCTGCTGTCTCATGAAAAATATTACGTACTTGGATTGAATTTCTCGAATTTGACCAGTCAAGATTTTTTTTGTTAAACTTCCCTTTAAGAAACACGGTGCAAGGAACATAACCTTCCTCAACTTTCCAAGCTTCCCTACTTACCATGGAACTTATGCAGTATAAATACACTACTCATGGTCGCAGCACCCTATCTCATCATCACAGATACATTCACAGATAGTGCATATTTCCTTTCCCTCAAAAAGGAAAAAAGATTGTACATATTCCCTCACTTTTGTAAGCCTTAGCGATGGAGTACTCGCCGAAGCTGGCAGTAGTACTGCTCTTAGCTCTCGCGTCCGCCATGGCGGTCGCGGCCCAGAACTCGCCGCAGGACTTTGTGGACCCCCACAACGCGGCGCGCGCCGACGTCGGCGTCGGGCCGGTGACCTGGGACGACAACGTGGCGGCGTACGCGCAGAACTACGCGGAGCAGCGCCGCGGCGACTGCCAGCTGATACATACTCCCGATGGCCGGCCGTACGGGGAGAACCTCTTCGGAGGCAGCGGGACCCAGTGGACGGCGGCGGACGCCGTGAACTCGTGGGTGTCGGAGAAGCAGTACTACGACCACGGCAGCAACAGCTGCTCGGCCCCGGAGGGCGACTCGTGCGGGCACTACACGCAGGTGGTGTGGCGTGACTCGACGGCCATCGGCTGCGCCCGCGTCGTCTGCGACAGCAGCGACGACGTGTTCATCATCTGCAGCTACAACCCGCCGGGCAACTACGTGGGGCAGAGCCCATACTAGGGTATGCATGCATGCGTGCATGTACGTAGCAGCGCGTATATTGCATAAAGAATAAAGTTGAGATCACAGTCGTGATAAGATGTGTGACTATAGCAGGAGAGATTCAAGGTATGTGTTGCGATTCATGGAAGTTGTATTATAGGTGCCTGCTATGCAGTGCTTATGAATGAAAATAAAGTTTTATTACCAGGGGTGAAGCTAGAGAGAAAAATAACTTAGGTGTATAACTTTAACATAAACATAATGATTAATGTATTTCTTAACTAAACGTCACTAGTTGGATGGGATCTGATTGGATGCGTTCTCTCAACTTCGGAGCGATACGGGACGCCTTGAGCCAAAATGGCATATAGCATCCCTTAGGTGGATCGCCTAAGCGCAACGGGCATGTATTTGTGCGGAGGCCATCACGGCCATCCCCCCTGGGTGCTCGAAGAGGAACTTGTGGACGACAGGAACCACCGGTGCTGGCATGGCCGCCTCCATGCTAACCCTAGGCGGAGCCTGAGTCTGCAGGGGGACGGGAGAGGGAAAAACCGCCCGAACCCCTGAAGGATTAGGGGGCGGCGCAACCCTAGGAGAGGACAGGGGGGAGGCGGCGGGGCCCTCACCACTTGGGGCTGGTACTAAACTAAGCGCACTCATCTCTAGCCGAGTACGGTGGACGGGGCGGAGGAAGGTGGAAGAAAGAGGGGCGGAGTTGCGAGGAGAAGGACGATGCCGGAACATGGCGACAACATAAACAATGGGAGGGGGGATGGCGATGGTTATGGAGGTAGTGGAGCCCGTATCCGCCCCGGGAAGCGCCTTTTATCGCCTAAAGGAGAAGGGAGATCACGGGTAAGAGCAGCAAAAACCCCGAGGCCTCCATTTAATGAGACCTCCTTGGGCCTCGGGGTAGTCAACCTTGGAATAAGAATCAAAACTATAGTCATTAGTAGCTACCGAATGGTCACATCAAAACCTCCCCCCCAAGCACAGAGTCGTATTTCTTAGGCTGCTGTCAATGCATGGGTGCTTAGATGAGGTGCTAAGCACATTAAATAGCTTAGCAACTATACTCCCCAATGCATAGGTGCTTAGCTTTGGTAGCTAAGCTTGCTTCATTTAATGTTTTAGCAACTAAAGCTCTTCATGTATTGGTGGGCTTCCTTCATTTAAATGTTTTGCCTAGGTTCACGTGCTTAGCATTGTTTCTTTCTGGGATCACCACACACATCTCTCTCCTTTTAAATAACTTACCATATCAGAATTTTTGCCTATGTGGAAGGCTTAGCACCTGTACACGGTGAAGCATTGGGAGAGGCCTTATGTCCATGCAGAAGCTACTTCCTTTTCCCACTAGTAGCAAGGCATTTTGGAACTACAAGGCCAGCACAGTTATTCAGCTCTAGGCCCCACCCGCATAACGATAAGAGCGCACGCTCGCCTCTTTGACCATCACCAGACTGTTGCAGGCGGGCCCGGAGGCTATTGACGAAACAATGGATACCAGGGTATACACAAAAGTTAGGTATCCAAGTTTCCTCGGAAATATCTAACGCTGGGAAAAGAATAACCATGAAAAAAATATACCTTGGTACATTTACTTTGTGCAGGAACTGCAAATTGTGGGTCACACGTGGTAAAATAAGTCACAGAAGACCCCCGAAGAGGCCCATGATGCCAGCCATGACGCACACGGGGGCTGAGCCCCCGAGCAGACGGGACACGCATCAACCAGGAAGGGTGGCCTTGTAGAGCACTCCACCGACCAGACATTTAATGACCGGTCATCGGTATACGTTGTTCCCTTTTGGGCTACAGGTAGGCCATCATCATGACAACACGGGGAGAGGGATGACAAAAACGGACGCTGGCGCGGCGTAAAGTGGAGGAAATATGCCCTAGAGGCAATAATAAAGTTGTTATTTATATTTCCTTATATCATGATAAATGTTTATTATTCATGCTAGAATTGTATTAACCGGAAACTTAGTACATGTGTGAATACATAGACAAACAGAGTATCACTAGTTTGCCTCTACTTGACTAGCTCGTTGAATCAATGATGGTTATGTTTCCTGACCATAGACATGAGTTGTCATTTGATTAATGGGATCACATCATTAGAGAATGATGTGATTGACTTGACCCATCCGTTAGCTTAACATGATGATCGTTTAGTTTGTTGCTATTGCTTTCTCCATAACTATACATGTTCCTATGACTATGAGATCATGCAACTCACGAATACCGGAGGAACACTTTGTGTGCTACCAAACGTCACAACATAACTGGGTGATTATAAAGGTGCTCTACAGGTGTCTCTGATGGTGTTTGTTGAGTTGGCATGGATCAAGATTAGGATTTGTCACTCCGATTGTTGGAGAGGTATCTCTGGGCCCTCACAGTAATGTACATCACAATAAGCCTTGCAAGCAATGTAGCTAATGAGTTAGTTATGGGATGTATCATTACGGAACGAGTAAAGAGACTTGCCGGTAACGAGATTGAACTAGGTATTGAGATACCAACGATCGAATCTCGGGCAAGTAACATACCGATGACAAAAGGGAACAACGTATACCGTTACGCGGTTTGACCGATAAAGATCTTCGTAGAATATGTAGGAACCAATATGAGCATCTAGGTTCCGCTATTGGTTATTGACCGGAGACATGTCTCAGTCATATCTACATAGTTCTCGGACCCGTAGGGTCCGCATGCTTAACGTTCGGTGACGATCGGTATTACGAGTTTATGTGTTTTGATGTACCGAAGGTAGTTCGGAGTCCCGGATTTGATCACGGACATGACGAGGAGTCTTGAAATGGTCGAGATGTAAATATCGATATATTGGAAGCCTATGTTTGGACATCGGAATGGTTCCGGGTGAAATCGAGAGTATACCGGAGCACCGGGAGGTTACCGGAACCCCCCGGGAGGTATATCGGCCTTATTGGGCCTTAGTGGGAGAGAGGGGGCCGGCCCCCCTTTCCTTCCTTCTTCCTCCTCCTTCCTTCTCTCCTAGAACCAACATAGGGAAGGGGGGGGGGAATCCTACTCCCGGTGGGAGTAGGACTCCCTTGGGGCGCGCCTAGAGAGGCCCCCCCCCTCCACTCCTTTATATACGAGGGAGGGGGGCACCCCATAGAGACACAAGTTGATCATTGATCTTTTAGCCGTGTGCGGTGCCACCCTCCACCATAATCCACCTCGGTTATATTGTAGCGGTGCTTAGGCGAAGCCCTGTTCCGGTAGCAACATCATCACCGTCATCACGCTGTCGTGCTGACGAAGCTCTCCCTCGAAGCTCTACTGGATCGTGAGTTCGCGGGACGTCACCGAGCCGAACGTGTGCAGATCGCGGAGGTGCCGTACCTTCGGTGCTATATCGGTCGATCGTGAAGACGTACGACTACATCAACCGCGCTGTCATAACGCTTCCACTTACGGTCTACAAGGGTACGTAGACGATACTCTCCCCTCTCGTTGCTATGCATCACCATGATCTTGCGTGTGCGTAGGATTTTTTTTTGAAATTACTGTGTTCCCCAACAGTGGCATTAGAGCGAAGTCTATGCGTAGATGCTATATGCACGAGTAGAACACAAAGGAGTTGCGGGCGTGGGTATATACATATTGCTTGCCGTCACTAGTCGATTCTTGATTCAGCGGCATTTTTGGATGAAGCGGCCCAGACCAACATTACGGGTACGCTTACGCGAGACTGGTTCTACCGACGTGCTTCGCACACAGGTGGCTAGTGGGTGTCTGTTTCTCCAACTTTAGTTGAATCGGATTCAATGAACATGATTCTTTATGAAGATCAAAAAGCAATCACTATACCGCGTTGTGGTTTTTGATGCGTAGGTAAGAACGGTTCTTGCTCAGCCTGTAGCAGCCACGTAAAACTTGCAACAACAAAGTAGAGGACGTCCAACTTGTTTTCGCAGGGCATGTTGTGATGTGATATGGTCAAGACATGATGCTAAATTTTATTTTATGAGATGATCATGTTTTGTAACACAGTTATCGGCAACTGGCAGGAGCCATATGGTTGTTGCTTTATTGTATGAAATGCAATCACCATGTAATTGCTTTACTTTATCACTAAGCGGTAGCGATAGTCGTAGAAGCAATAGTTGGCGAGACGACAATGATGCTTCGATGGAGATCAATGTGTCAAGCCGGTGACGATGGTGATCATGACGGTGCTTTGAAGATGGAGATCAAAGGCACAATATGATGATGGCCATATCATATCACTTATATTGATTGCATGTGATGTTTATCCTTTATGCATCTTATTTTGCTTAGCTCGGCGGTAGCATTATAAGATGATCTCTCACTAAATTTCAAGGTATAAGTGTTCTCCTTGAGTATGCACCGTTGCTACAGTTCGTCGTGCCGAGACACCACGTGATGATTGATAAGCTCTACGTTCACATACAACGGGTGCAAGCTAGTTTTGCACACGCACAATACTCGGGTTAAACTTGATGAGCCTAGCATATGCAGACATGGCCTCGGAACATTGAGACCGAAAGGTCGAGCGTGAATCATATAGTAGATATGATCAACATAGTGATGTTCACCATTTAAAACTACTCCATCTCATGTGATGATCGGACATGGTTTAGTTGATATGGATCACGTGATCACTTAGATGATTAGAGAGATGTCTATTTAAGTGGGAGTTCTTAAATAATTTGATTAATTGAACTCTAATTTATCATGAACTTAGTATTTGATAGTATTTTGCATGTCTATGTTGTTGTAGATAGATGGCCCGTGCTGTTGTTCCGTTGAATTTTAATGCGTTCTGATACGTCTCCAACATATCTACTTTTCCAAACACTTTTGCCCTTGTTTTGGACTCTAACTTGCATGAT